AGCCATTGAAATTCCCACACATCCCAGTCAGCTTCCCCCAATATTCAGGACCCACACGAACAAACAAAGCATGGCGGCCATTGTACTGGACCTCCAAACTGGGATGTGTTCTTATGGTTACCATCTGGCTTCTTTTTGTGATGTTAGCTAAGTGCTCTAGTTTTGCTGGCAAAGCAATTGGTCTCCCATCAACCTAAAAATATAGTGGAAATCCAAATTAGGCATAAGTAATCAATTGTGTGAGGAGGAGGAGGAGAAGTGGCTGATGGCTTCAGCACAACATGAAGCCCACATGATCTCCATGATGCTGAGACTCCATTGTTTTAATTGTCCTTGTTTATATTTCCTAATCCCTCAGATCAGGATGTTCTTGGGAAAAACAAGGGAGCAGCGCAGGTTCCTATTCTATACTGTAATAGCTATGATCATTTGCAAACCAATTCATTTGAATTTGAAGACACTGGGTGAGAATAGACCCAGGGGATAGTCTGGAGTAGTGGGACCAGGGGTGGGCTGCTGAGGGGGTCTCTCGGGCTCAGGGGAGCCCCTAGCTAAGACTCTGCGGGGCTCGGAGAGCCCCCCCCCCCAATAACCTCAAAAAGACAAGCAGCCTAGAATAATAAATGGACACCTTTTTGGCTTTTTTCCTTTCTAGGCGTTCAGCCAAGAGCATTTCACACCTCGTAAAAGTGTCAAGCTAGATAAAGCGCTTGTGGAGGGCTAATTCCCAAATAATAAGAATCATGTAACTCACCAGAAACTCCACTAAGACTCCAAGATCCCTCTCACAGTCACTGCTATTAAGCCTGGTTTCACCCAGTCTTTTATTTAAGTATTAAATGGACGAAATAATAAACAACTTTTTGGTATGTTATCTTTTTTTAGGTAATTAGGGCAAAGAAGCGATGTTGAGTTGGCCACACCCACCCAGCCACATGACCACCCAGCCACGCCCACCCAGCCATTCATTAGGGCAGAGAGCCCCTTGCTAAAAAAATTGAAGCCCACCCCTGAGTGGGACACATTGAATTATTCTGATGACCTGGGAAAGAAACCCCCTGAAGTTGCTTTGAGCTCTCTTGAAGAAAAGATGAGATATATAAGGATAATAATAGATTAATTAGGCATAATAATTAGAGGTCAAATTAGAGATAAAAATGGAATATATAGAACTGAATCTCATGTTTCCTCAATATTATGAGAACATGCTTTGAAAAGCTCAGATTCAATCCCTAGTTAAGAACATCTGGTTCTTGGGAAAACTATCTATTCTAACATCGGAGTGATGTTCTTCCATCACAGTGGACAAAATCACTACTTGGTTAACTAATTTATTTGGTTCCCCCCCACCCCCAAGCATTGAAATTCTTGACAGATGCAGAATCATAGCAGCTAAGAATTGGAGGGACCTATACGTGCTGTTCCCCACTCAGTTTGATGTAGAAAAGTACCACATCCCAACAAATGGGATTTCAGTGTTGTGATTCGCCGGTGCAGACAGCAGAGGTGAGGATGAAAGGGGACCCGTCAGGGAGTCTGGAGAGGACTTGGATGAGGATCCTGCTTCTGATGCAGGGATGTGGCCAGGACCATCTGGGAGTGGGGTGCTGCCTTCGGAGCCTTCGGAGTCTGGCAGCAGCGAAGCAGAGGACCCAGGGGAGCCTGTTCCTAGTGCGCATGTGCGCAGAGCTGCTAGAAGGCGAGAGCAGCTAAAGCAGAAGGGGCAACTTGGGAGGTGATTGCCCCTCCCATAAGGGATAAAAGTCAGTCCTCAATGAGGAAAAGCTTTGCAGGAAGCAAAGTAGTTCAGTAATTTAGTAATTCAGTAAGCCCTGTACTCTGGTCGGTTTTTTCTGGGTTTTTGGATTGTCTTATGTTAGCCTTAATTGGACTTCTGTTTCTTGGCAGCATTCTACAGCACTGAAAAGCATGCTCTTATCTGGAGGAACTGTGTCTGATGAGTTTTGGCTGGGAATTCAAGTCATTCCCAGTGTTACATTAAAATAGGTTTTACTTTTAAGTTTGACGAAGCCTGGGTTAGAACATTCAGCTTCTTCTTGAAGATTTTCAATAAAGAGATAATTTCATTGTCAACCTTCTTTTATCACTAAAAATATCTGGGTAAGGTTCAGTTAAAATCTAGTATTCTATCATCTCAAGAAATAACATATCTTTGCTCATATGTAAGCACAACCTGCCAGATCTTATCTTACATTTCCAAACTAAACATTATCTCTTAAAACCTTTGCTTTCTCAATGATGATTCTCAACATCATCATCCCATATTTTTCAAATGGCCATTGATTAGGTTGGTTTATTGGACACTTTTTTCCCCTCCTCCTTCTTTGTGGGGGCTTGGATCAAGAAATTGCCCTCACCTTCACATCTTTTCCTTTTTCCAAAACAATGTGAGAACTGAACTGTTTGAAGCTAAGCCAAATATCCACTCGGAAAATAAAAGATACTCGGGGATTCCAGAAATTCTTATTAGTAGCCACAACCCGGAAGGAGAAATCCAAGGAGGAGTTGTGTGTCTTTGAGATCTCATAAGCGCAACTGCCTTGGAAATGGGCTATAGCCCCATCAAATGTGAAGTAGTGAGGGTCTCCAGAAATGGTGCAAGTGGTCAGCTGATTTTTACAGCCCAGCTTTCCATCCTGAATTGCACATTGCTGGCCAGGATTGCAACTGGCTGGGACGCAGTGAAAGGTCGACGAATTCTCACAGCTGCACCTTTTTGTGCAGTCAGAAAGCCAGAGGTGGTCTCCAACCTGAAAAGTAAACCAGTAATTAATTAATCAAGACAAGATTTGAACACTATGCCCCAATCTGTCCATCTTATTCAGATCAGTTTCCTACCTCTGCAAAATAGGCTTTGTTTATCTACCTTACTAGACTTATTTCTAGTATTCTTTTTGCTATGTTTGACCTTAGAATGCTGCCCCTGCTACATCTTATTTTAGGCTATACGGTACCTCTTTTCACCACTGTAGGTAGCTGCTCATGTTTCCAATTGTGAAAAAGACCTATGAGAAGAGAACTCTTTCTTGGGAACCATTTCAGGACATTTCAGGAGATTTAAGAACTTAAGATCTGCTCTTAAGTGATTTGTGTGTGTGTGTGTGTGTGTGTGTGTGTGTGTGTGTGTGTGTGTGTTCAAGATCTCCCTTCATTTTATCTCTATAACTCTATAATTTTACCTCTATACCTCTATAATTTTATCTCTATAACTCTCTCTTCATTTTATCTCTATGAGCTCTGGTGGCGCAGTCGTTAGAGTGCAGTACTGCAGGCTATTTCTGCTGACTGCCGGCTGCCTGCAATTTGGCAGTTTGAATCTCACCAGGCTCAAGGTTGACTCAGCCTTCCATCCTTCCAAGGTGGATAAAATGAGGACCCAGATTGTTTGGGGCAACATGCTGACTCTGTAAACCGCTTAGAGAGGGCTGTAAAGTTGTATATAAGTCTAAGTGCTATCGCTATAACAGCCATCCTGTGAGGCAGGCTGGGCTGAAAGAGAGAGCATTGGTTTAAATCACTCACTAAACTTCTAAGGCTGATGAGGGATAAGAACTTGGGTCTCCCCACTTTTACTCCAGCGCCTTCCGCACTACACCACATTGGCTTTGGGTTGAAAGAGAACGACTGGTCCAAAGTCATGAGTGAACTCCAACTGTTGAAGCGAACTACACGTAGTTCTCCATTTACAACCATTCGTTTATTGACCATTCAAAGTTACAATTAAAAAGTTACAATAGGAATGCAGTGGATCAGTGGCTAAGACGCTGAGCTTGTCAATCAGAAAGGTCAGCAGTTCAGTGGTTCGAATCCCTAGCGCTGCGTAACGGAGTGAGCTCCCATTACTTGTCCCAGCTTCTGCCAACCTAGCAGTTTGAAAGCATGTAAAAATGCAAGTAGAAAAATAAGGACCACTTTGGTGGGAAGGGAACAGCATTCCATGCGCCTTCGGCGTATAGTCATGCCGGCCACATGACCATGGAGATGTCTTCTTTCACCACACTGACCTTTGGCACGACTTACATTGTAATAATGGCCATTGTATTCACAGCCACAGTGTTCGTGCTGAATGCACTTGTTCCCGCTCCATAAGTATCCTGCATCACAGACACATCCTTCAGAGCACAGGGGGTTGCAGAGATGTGTAAATGTGGCACCGGCACAAAAACCCTGGCAGGGTGGCTGGCAGAGTTCATAATGACTGTTGGCTGGGCAATCTGGATCTTTAAAGAGAGACGGGGGGGTGGGGAGGAAACAGTAATTTTGCTGGTGATCCTATCCTATTTTGAAGTCTTTCAATACCAGGCATGATGCTATTTGATGCATTTTTGTGGGTTTTATTTTAAACAACAATAATGTGGCCTTTATTTAGCTTTTCCTTCACACACACACACACAAAGCATATTCCCACCACTGCCCATAAGTCTCATGATGTTCTTTTCTAGAAAACATTCCAAATAACTCGTGTTAAATATATAAAAATGACCAAGTGAAATGTTATATTTCCAAGTTTGTTGAGGAAGAAGTTTTTTCTCAATATTCCCTTCATCCAATCAACCAGCCATTTTCATCCCTGAGATATCATAAAAGAAGGCTTCAAACTGGAACTTTTAAAAATTGCAGCACCCCACACCAAAGCTATGGATTCGATTTCCAAAGCTCCTAGGTAAATTGCTGATTAACTGTATTGTTTTTAATATATTTTACTTTAATTAATCCATTTGCTGGGTTCGCATGTTATCTTGAACCATAAGCCAACCAAACAGACTGGCTTCACATAACACACTAACAGACTAGCCAACATTTGCAGTAACCAAACTTAGCATGTTATGGGAATGCCAAATTGCAGGCAGCCGGCAGTCAGCAGAAGTAGCCTGCAGTACTGCACTCTAACCACTGCACCACCGTGGCTCAATATTAAATATTAGATTACGCCCTAGAACCATTCATAAAAAAATATTGGACTTTGCTAATTGACTCACCACAAAAAGATCCAATTCTCCAAGGCTTGAGGGTGACATTGGCTCTCTGGCAGGCTGCTACGTAAGTCTGAATGGAAAGGCACAAGATCTTCGGATCCCAAGCAGATGCATAAACGTCCAAAATGCAATTTGTTAAATAGGGTTTGGGACTGACCAGAGAATGGCAAGAAGAAAATGGCCCATCAGCATTCTGGATGATCCAGCACATGGATTTAGATCGGATGAGATGTTCCTTAACAAATATAGGAGGCCCAAGGCTACCTGTGATCGCTGATGAACTCCAGAAGCTAGCAAGGTCCAAGGGGTGTTTTGATATGGATCTGATTTGCATGCTAGAATCGGCGTCATTGGCCCTCTTGAAATTCCCACACATCCCACATACTTGCCCTTGGTATCCAGAAGAAAGGGTTACAAAGAGGCTGTGTGCCAGGTCATAACTCACGGTTAAACCAAAGTCAGTTGTTAAAACAACATAAAATCCATGTTGATAAATGGCAATCCTCTGGCTTTTCAAATGGGCGGGAAGGTGCTGAGCTATACCATTGATCTATACAAAGGGGAAAAAAACAGGTGGTGCAATGATTAGAATGCAAGATAACTCTGTCCACTGTTAGGAGTTAGTTCCTTACTGGCTCAAGGTTGACTCAGCCTTCCATCCTTCTGAGGTTGATAAAATGAGGACCCAGATCATTGGGGGCAATACGCTGACTCTGTAAACCACTTAGAGAGGGCCGTAAAGAACTATGAAGTGGTATATAAGTCTAAGTGTCATTGCTATTAGAAGTCATCTTTTCCTCAATTACCATTTACCAATTATGATGCCTTCATCTGCTTCATGGTGAACACTCTCTAAATATTATTAACTTGCAGGAAATATGACCAGTGGTGAGATTCAATTTTTTTTACTACCGGTTCTGCGGGCGTGGCTTGGTGGCGTGGCTGGGGAAAGATACTGTAAAATCTCCAGTCAGAGGAGATACTCAAAATTTCCGCTACCGGTTCTCCAGAACTGGTCAGAAACTGCTGAATACCACCTCTGAATATGACTCTAAAGGCCTTTGCAACTGGAATATCCAGGCCAACATTTGATGATGTCTACTCTGGATACTTAACATTTTCTCTTCTGACTCAGACCTGGATGATCTCAGTTGATTGTACATAACCACCATTTCAATTCCCTGTAATTTCTGGTGCAGTGCTAATAAGGGGAATGATGGGAAAGAAAATTAATGGCCAGCTATTGCTAAGAAACTGACTCTATGGGAAACTAATGGAATTTAAAAAGAAGAGATTTAGATAGTTTCCCTACCCAAATATTGTGTCAAGGCATCATGAGATGCTGAGGCTAACCTTGACATATATTTGCATATGTGTTTGTGTGTGTGTAAGAGAGAGAGAGAGAGAGAGGAAGAGGAGGAGGAGGAGGGGATCCTAACATTAAATATGGAGCATTCATAGATATAGATTCATAGATGAAGTTAGAGAATATTTTTTCATCTCTCCTTTAAGCTTATTTACAATTTAAAGATCTACTATTCTAAATATGTTCCAAATATGGTGACATATTGGAGACTCTGAAGGCTTAGGATTCACAGCCTCTCCTGATGGCCCTCAACCTCATTCATGATAGTTTTTTTTTTTTTTGCTGGCCTTCTCAATATTAGAGTTTCTCATATCGGGAATAATTGTCCTTTAAGGCTGAAAATTAAGCAGATATTTCTCCTCTGAAGTTAAAGCCCAGACTCTAAACTGATACATCGTAGGATCCCTAGGTTGCAGTGGTAAGTTTCAAATTTTTTTTACTACCAGTTCTGTGGGCGTGGCTTGGCGGGCGTGGCTTGGCTTGGTGGGCGTGGCTTGGTGGGGAAGGATACTGCAAAATCCCCATTCACTCCCCACCCCACTAACCTGCTTTCCAGCTCTGTTCTCCTGTGCAGGGCAACCAAAGAAGACCCAGGCGATCAGCTGGGACTCGGGAGGCGGAGAATAGATGGGGGTGGGGCCAGTCAGAGGTGGGATTTGCCGGTTCTCCGAACTACTCAAAATTTCTGCTACCGGTTCTCCAGAGCTGGTCAGAACCTGCTGAATACCACCTCTGCTGGGTTGCTATCTCAGAGGCTACAAGAGGATGGCTTTAACATTCATCTTTTGTAAACATTTGTTCAGTTGGAATATAACAACAAATACAAAACATGCTTGAAATCACCCCACCCTTTCAGATCGCAAATAAGTAAAATTGTCCTTACCAAGGCCCTCCCATGGTGCCCTCTCTGCAGATATATCTGGGTGTTGTTCACTAGAACCAGTACCATTGATATCTCAGGAAAAAGTCTGTTAGGCATCTTCTCATTCTTCACCTCAACTCTGAAAGAAGGTAAAAGCTTGGACATTGGGCACAGTTCCACCAAGACGTACATAGAGGTGCCTTGGAAGCTGTACGGTTGCCCGTCAAAGGTGGTGTAGTGAAGAAATCCAGAAATTTGACAGATGCCATCTGGCAACACATGGCAGCCAAATACTCCCTTCTGAGTGCCACAGAATTGGCCAGGACCACAAAAGGAACCCTCCGTTTCAAGGGCAGAGATGGAGCCATCACAGCGATACTTTTTTAGGCAGTTTTCTCCCTCCAGGAAGAATGTTTCCCCTTTCAAGTAATACCGTCCGTTGTAGCTGCAGCCACACTGCTCCCACGGCACACAGTCCGTGCCACTCAGCACAAACCCTGCTTCACACTGGCATCCTTCTACACACATGCTCTGGAAGCAAGTTGGAGGTCCAGCTGGTTGGGCGCAAGAGGCAGGGCAGGAAGAGCCACAAAATGTGTAACGGCTGTTCTCTGGGCAAGTCAACTCTAAACGCAAAAGATTGAATGATTTGTTTTAATACCAAAGACAGATTTTGGAATTAATATAGTGGGGACAAAGGGGTAGGAACAGTAAAGAAAATTATTTTTGCAAGATCCAGTATGGGTCAATCACTGTGACCAGAAGTTTGGTCTTCGGAGCCCATTATCAGGGAACTTCACTCTACTGGAATATGTGCTTTGGGCTGTTCTATACATCATATGTATGTGGTGCCTTCCTATTTGTTGATTGGTGTATTTTCAGGCTTGAGCACAAGCCCAAAAGTTTGGAAGACTAAACCACTGATCCTGGTGACTGTCCCAATGTCAGCATGCTGAGTAATGCGTCTGCCAAAAGCAGAACGAGGCAGGTAGATTCCTCAAAGAACATGTTTATTGGATACATCATATCGGCACAGCTGGTGAAAACCAACTCATAAGTTCCTGCGGTTTTTCCCTGATTCAAAGAGTAAAAGTTCCCCCTCCCAGATGTCACCAGTCACATTGTCCAATGAAAGTAGCTGGCCGGCTGCTTGGTCACTCCTCTTCTCCTTCAACTGCCTCCTGTTGAGATGACCTTGGTTCCCACAGGAAAACTTTTTGTTTCGGCTGTTAGCCAGTCTAACTACTTCCCCCCTCCCTTCCCCCTCTCAGGGTTTGTGGCAACTATGAGGCAGCAAAAGATGGCTTCATCCAGGTTCGCTTCAGAGTTGACACCCAGATTGGATCTTGCAACATTATTCTGGGACATATATATTTGCTTTCATTCATGAAAAATATTTTTAATTTAAAACACACAGTTGTTATGTGACATTGTTACACATTTCCTTCCAAGTGTTTTGCTTGTTCATTAATTGTTACCAGTGCAGATTGACAGGAGTAAATATCTGACTCAGACACAAACAGATATAATCATTCAATCTTTCTTTCTTTCATTCATTTAAAAAATATTTTACAGAAAGAGAAGCAAGATTCTCAGACAGTGGAATGCCATGTCTAACAGACACTATATTTTATCTGCACACCTGCAAAAAATGTTCACTTCTGTTTTTAAAACCAATCTTTCTACTGAATATCACTTACCACATCCAGTGATCTTTCTCCACGACTGAATCTTGATGTGCTTTGCTTGACATCTCTGAGCATACATAGATAGTACTTCACACAGAACCTTGTGGCTGCCCTGTGTTGTGCATAGGATCTTCACACAATGCTCTGCATAATGCTGAGCCTCCGTTTGGTCTTGGCAGTCTTGAAATGGCCCATTCATGTCACGAATGAGTCCACAATAAGCCAGAGATCTGTACTGGGCCAATTCAGTTTCACTGCAATTTGGTAAGGGCCCGACAGCTGCACAGTGGAATGGGGAGCCAGAATCTTTCCAGCTGTTGCCAAAAGTCTCTGGATCCTGAAACACCGAACCCCTGGGAGACCTGAAGTCATCGTGGTGATTCTGGTTGAAATCTCCACCAAGGCCACAGAGAGACCCTGAGTAAATTTCAGGAACTGAAACTGACATGTGGTGAGACCAATCATAGGAAACAGAGAGGCCCACATCAGTCTCAATAGTGAGGAAGGTGGTAGTAGAATAAGCATAGAGTTTTCCCGTTACAAGGGTGATGGGCAGATTCATTAGAAGGCCATTCACCTAAGACAAAGCCAGGGGAACAATGTCCTTGACAAATTCATAAATAGATTCATTTAATTAATCTATATACCAAGGGTGTCAAACTCGATTTCATTGAGGGCCGCATCAGGGTTGTGTTTGACCTCAGGGGGGTGGGGGAGGCATGGCTGGGGTGGGTGTGGCCAATGCGATGTCACTTATGTGGAGGGCACCTGTGGTGGCCCAAGTGCTCTGCCAATGAAAACAGGCCCCCAAGCTCTGTTTTCGGCTGTGATGGCCTCCTGCAACCCTCTGCCAGTGAAAACAGAGTTTGGCTACGTGCAGCCCTCCTGAGCTCTGCTTTCGCTGACAGAGGCAATGCAGGCCGGTCCTTCACTGTTTCCAGGGTGGCGCTGCAGCCCACATCTAAGCACCCCATGGGATGGATCTGGCCCCCAGATCTTGAGTTTGACACCCCTGATCTATACACTCTCCATCTTCCAGTGACTAGATCAGGGGTCCTCAAACTTGACAGCTTTAAGACTTGTGGACTTCAACTCCCAGAATTCCTCCTCCAGTCATGTTAGCTCAGGAATTCTGGGAGTTGAAGTCCACAAGTCTTAAACTTGCCAAGTTTGAAGACCCTTGGACTAGATAGAACCGTGATGGTGAACCTATGGCACACTTGCCGGAAGCGGCACTCAGAGCCATTTCTGCCAGCACACAAGCCATCGCCTGGAACTGATCCACTGCACATGTACAGTGGGTCTGGGAGAGGGGGGTCGCATGTGCATTGTATTAAGGTGCAGGCACACACGCAGGCACACACATGCACTTTTGGCCTGCGATGACGAAAAAAAATAGCCATCACTGAGATAGATGGATCTCTGGATAGAAAATTAGATAGACAAATGGACACTTCTTCTCTGGTAGATGTAACCTTAGGCTGAAAAGATTTTCAATTTCCAGCCAATTTCCTAATGTTGAATGTTATTCTCTTAAAGATCTAGGTGGATATTGAACAACAGGTAGATGTTATTCAACACATGACATTCTCATTCATGTTCAACTACTCTAGTCTGGGAAATAGCATCAACACTAGTAACTACCCTCTTGGGTTCAAGTCAAACTCTCCTCCCTGAACAAAAATATAAGTTAAATCATGTCTTGGGATCAGGGATACCTATAATCAATTCCCCAATCTCCCATGGAACTCATTGTGTGACTATGGGGCAGTCACACTCTCTTGACCCAACTTATTTCTCAGATTCTTAGGGCTGTCGTAGGGATGAATGGGAGAAAGATTCTTTTATCCTCAGAGATCTTTCTGCAAATGTAATTCTAATTTTAATCTTTCTTTCTACATTGCCACTGTTGAAGGTAGATTCCCAACCTCACTGAAAGAGAATCTTCTTCATTAACTTGTCAACAAGAATTCACATTATATGTTTATCTTGATCAATGAATTAAGCCACTGTAGGGTTGAACCTAGGTTAGTATGCTGTTGAATGCACATCTCCTTAAGCTTTTTGTACAGAGTATAATGAGCTACAAGAATAATCTTGAGGAACAGAAGGAAGATCTGTAACCAAGACAATGGTTAGATAAAGAACTTTGAGTCCAAGGCAGAAATGTAATTTGAGAAAATGCCTTAGATTTGACCCTCCCTGGTTTTCTTAAAGGGAGGGAGAAGGAAAAACTCATTCAGACTTTCAAGATTATGTTACTATAACCCTATAATAAAAGTAATATTAGACTTCATAACTTTGGTTCCTAGTCTGATCTACCTCGAAAGGCTAACGTAGACTCATTATAAAGCAGTTTTTAGATCCTACAGACATTCCAATGGAAACTGGTTAGAATTTACAATACTCTTACCTTTATTAAACCATACTGCCCTTTTGCCATAATTATTTTCTCCCCATAGATTTCAAGTTCCAACTGCTTTATCCAGGATACCAAGATAGAGTCCTTATGCATATTTAATACTTGAATGTTGAAGCTCGGAAGCTTTCCAGGAGGACCACAGTATGAAACAAGGGTGTATTTGCAGGCCCCTTGAAAACTGAAAGAAACACCATCAAAAGTGATATAGTTTGAAGGGCCATATAGATGCATCAGGCCAAATCTCATTGGGTAACAACCTCGTACATCATCCACAACTTTGCACATTTCCTGAGCTTTGCAGGCATGTCCTTGACATTCCATTGGGTGAGCAGCTTGCATGCAGATGCATCTTTGGTTACAAGTGTCCCCCAGGATCACTTGTTCTCCCAGCTGGTAATAGCGGCCATTTAGGGCGCAGCCACAGAGTTGTAGAGGTATGCAGACCCCAGCTTTCAGAACATAGCCTTCCCTGCAGACGCAGCCTGAGATGCAAGCTTTTTTGCAAAGGGCAGGGGCCTGGAGGTTGGCACACGTGGCAGGACAAGCTGGGCCACAAAAGTCATAATACTGGTTAACTGGACAGGTGATGCCTGAAAAGGAAAAGATCAAACGGGTTTGGGAATGCAAAACAATGTGCCCAAAATATTTCTGTAACGTACATATGGTAGAATCTCCAGCTAGACCGGAAGGTGGTGTTAAGAGGAGGTTGAGTTTAGAATCTTTTCACTGGAGAAAGTGGCACAATGACTTTCCCCCAGAATCCCTGAAGCCTTATCTGACTTTATTCCAGGGGAATATAGTCAGTCTGGTGAGATTCTTGTAACATAGGTGACTAACAATAAAGTTTCTGGCTGAGACTAGTTCAACAATAAAGTATATTCAAACTTTATGCATATAAATTTTCTGGTTGTGACTAATTCAGGTTGCTTGTGCCTGACAATAAATAAGCTATTGGGTAGTACAAACTTTATCATTATTGGTATGATAATTCGATATCGTACACCATATTGAATGATCAAATATAGTTATTTGCCTTCATTCATGATGATTATCATTTCCAAGGGCAGATGTTATATACTGATGTCACACCTTGACTTTCAAATACATCTACAGACATTTTCCTAATGGGAACCACCCTTCTTATTTTGCTTACTGCATCCTGTTGCCTGCCGCCAGTCCATCACCTTCACCCCAGTAATGGTGCACATTTCATCATAAGTTTCAATGGCCATACAGAACATGCGATTGCCCAATCCGTACTGACATAAATCATAGACACAGGATTCATAATACAAGTCTGGGTTGTTGAGCCAGTGACATTCAGAGAAAGGCCCTGAGACGTTAATTAAGATTGCACACATTTGTTTGTACTTGTGTTGATTTGGGCAAGGAACAAGGTCTTTGGTGTTGTTTTTACATCTGAAAAAGATAGACAAAGAACAGAGTCACATGTCAGGGTTCCAAGTGCATAGCAAGCAAAACTCCAAGGCAGGTAAGATTCCTCAAAGAATACTTTTATTGGAATGAACATATTGGCACATATCTGGTGAAAACCAACTCTGAAGTCTCCCGTGGTTTTCACCTAATTAAAAGTAAACGTTTGTCACTTTCTCAAAACAATCAGTCACATGGTCCAATCATGGCATTCTCTGGTTGCCGGGTGACATCACTTCGCCTTTCTCTGACCAGGTGTGAGAATGTCCTTGGTTCCCAAGAGAAAATATTTTGTTTTGGCTACAGAATCCCAACTCTCTCAAATCCTCCCTCCCTATCCCTTGGCTCCAGTGTGGCAACACTGAAGTGGTCAAAATGGCTTCAGTCAGGTCAGCTTCATGGTTGACAGCATTAATACTCATCACCCAAGAGACTAAGCTGTCCAGAAGAGGATTAGCTGATCTATTTGATTAAAATGTTTTAATGACTCTCTTTCTGAAACACTGTTTTTCTCAAATTCCATTGTCCTGATATCTTGGAATCAGTGGTGGGCTGAAAAATTTTTAACAACTGGCTCTCTGGCTGGGTAGGCATTCACACCCAGCCCCACTTCTCTGCCACTTGCCTCAAAGGCAGAGGTAGGATTCAGCCAGTTGGAGCTAATTCCACCACTGGCTGGGCCCACCCCTGCACATTTTGGGCCTGTTTTTAGCCATTTTCAGGCCATTTTTAGCCCGAAAAATGGCCTGAAAATGGCCCCCAAAACAGGCCAAAAAATGAGCAGGGGCGGGGCCAGCCAGTGGTGGGATTTGCCGGTTCACTGAACTGCACAGAATCTAAACTACCGGTTCACTTGAACCAGTGCAAACCGGCAGCAGCCCAACTCTGCCTGGAACTCATTGGGACCATCAGAATTTCTGGGTCTCCCGATTCCGGGGTGCTCTAGCTTTTCAGATGGGGAGAGGAAGAGGCTCATCCTACCGTGCAGAGCTGGTGTTTGATATCCAAGCATTTCCAAACTGTGCATCATTCAGAGCTTTGTCTCCAGACGGTAAAAGTTTATCATCAGAAGCATCACCGTTGAAGTTGCCACACATGCCACACAGCTGATTCTGATACTCTGGACCCACCCGTAGGAACACACTACTTGCCCCGTTGAACTGGATTTCCACATTAGCTTTGGTTCTCACGGTCAACATATTCCTCACTCTCAAGATCCGAGCAATGGATCCTACATTGGCCGGTAGTTGGGTTCTTCTGCCGTTAACCTTTCATAAAAGAAATACTATAAAAGTTTCTGCAGCACTAACTTAGACTTAGACTAACTTTGTCACTTTGAATGAACACTAATCGGCATACATTAAAATGAAATTTCATTGCATGTAGCTCTCAAAGGGTCACCACCTCCAATATACACTACATCAACATGACAAAATAAATACAAAATTATGCATATGCCCACATATATTATATGAAACAGAGAAACAACACAGTCTAGATCAGATGTATACATGTACATGGCAAAAAGAAAGAGTCCTGCAAGTTTACCAGATGGATGGCATGAGGAACAAAGCAGTTACAGAATCTGGTAGACCTCCTATAGATACTTGGAAATCCCCTCCCGGGAGGAGCAACAGAAACAGACCATCAAGTGGGTGTGTGGGGTCTCTAACAATGCTTTGAGCTCTAAGGACATAGCACTTATAAGCAGTGTCCTGAATGACAGGAAGAGAGCTTCCTATAATCTTCTCGGTTGTCCTTACCACTCTCTGTATGGACTTTCTATCTGAGGCACTGTTGCCACTAAACCAAACAGTGATGCAGTTTGTTAAAGCACTCTCAATTGTGCCTCTGTAAAAAGTGGCCAGGACAGGAGAAAAATCTTCATCTTCTCTGAACGACTAGCTACGTTGCTCAACAAGGGGTTGACCCAACAGTACCATCAACAAAGTACAGATGTTTTAGGATGGTGCTTCCCAAACATTTTCCTTCATTTACCCCAAACCGGTAATCAGAAAGTCCTTTTTATCCAATGTATGCAAAACACTATTGTCCCTATTGGGATTGGGTCATGTGTCCGTGTATCAAAAAATACTTTTACCCAAATTTGGGTAATTTGCCCAATAGGTAATACCTTTGGGAAGCACTGAACTAGGATTTGATTTATTTTTTTAAAATAAACCCACTTCATTTGCTTTTCCCAAATTAATATGTGACTCATAATAACAACAAAAGACGTTGTTAAGAACATTTTGCCTCCTAGAGTTGTGGATGCTCCAGATTTTCTAGAAAGGATTGGACAGTCATTTGTCTGGGATGATATAAGGTCTCCTAGGGAGTTGGATTAGAAGACAGATTACAGATTAACAGAATTGGAAGAGACCTTGTAGATCATCTAGTCCAACCCTCCCACCCAAGCAGGAGACCCTACACCATTTCTGACAAATGGCAGTCCGGTCTCTTCTTGAAAGCCTCCAGTGATGAAGCTCCCACAACTTCCAAAGACAACTTCTGTTCCATTGGTTGATTGTTCTCATTGTCAGAAATTTCTCCTTATTTCTAGGTTGAATATCTCCTTGTTCAGTTTCCATCCATTATTCCTTGTCTGGCCTTTGGGTGCCTTGGAAAGTAGCTTGACTCCTTCCTCTCTGTGGCAGCCCCTCAAATATTGGAAGACTACTATCCTGTCTCCCCTGGTCCTTCTCTTCACTAGACAAGCCAGGCCCAGTTCCTGCAACCGTTCTTCATATTTTAGTCTCCAGTCCCCTAATCATCCTGGTTGCTCTTCTCTGCACTTTTTATAGAATCTCAACATCTTTTTTATAGTGTGGTGACTAAAACTCTATGCAGACCTCCAAGGTCCCTTTCCCTATGATTCTAGGCATCATTAGAAGACCTCCAAAATTCCTATGATTCCATGAGTCCATAGGTCAATGAGTCTATGTCACGTAACCACTATACTCACATGGACAGCTTTGCCTCGCTCAAGGAACACATGGAAACTGGATTGGTGCATCTGAAACCAGATTTCCACCCGGTAAGCAAAGGAAACTCTGGGATTCTGGAAGTGTCGGTTTTCAATGACAACTCGGAAGGAGAAATCCAGCGTGGAGTTGCAAGTGTGAGAGACCTCATAGTCACAGATACCCTGGAAGTGCACCAGTGCACCATCAAATGTGAAATAATGAGGATCGCCTGTGACGACGCAGGTGGTCAAGAGACTGTGGCAGCCATACAGTCCTCCCTTCAGTGTGCATTGTTGATCCGCCTTACATCTAGCTGGGAAACAACGGAAATTGCCATGGGGGTCACAACGGCATTTTTTTGCACAACCGGGCAGCCAGATATGCTCTCCAACCTGCATGGAGAACATAGAGGTCAATATGGAAGATGCAGTGAGAACAGAGTGGGTGTTTTTCAGTATTTTTTGTGTTGTTTAAAGACAGTAATAGCAATAGCACTTAGACTTATATACCGCTTTATAGTGTTTTACAGCCCTCTCTAAATGGTTTACAGAGTCAGCCTATTGCCCCCAACAATCTGGGTCCTCATTTTACCCACCTCAGAAGGATGGAAGGCTGAGTCAACCTTGAGCCTGGTGAGATTCGATCTGCAAAATTGCAGGCAGCCGGCAGGCAGCAGAAGTAGCTTGCAGTACTGCACTCTAACCACTGCGCCACCGAGGCTCAGATCAGAACGATTCTCAATTAAACTATTGAGAAAATTAGAAGTTTGACAAGGCTATAAGTCATAATTTTAGCCAAAGGAATTGTGATGGAATTCTATCTTGTAAGATCTAACAGATAATTTCTTTGTTAATAACAGCCCAGGGAGCTATTACTCCTTACTCAGAAAAAGACGTATCTTGCTAATTGATAAATGACACATTTAGCTGTGGTGTGCATGATCAAATTAGCAAATGGTGAGAACAAAGGCAAGAAAATGATTGTTACAGAACCAATTAATCTTATTGGACAAGCTGAAATAAACCTGTATTAGAATGGAATTCAATTCTTAAGAAGTGCATACTATTAGGATAAAAAATAATCTTGACTTTTAGCTCAAATTAATGTTTTTTTAATGTTTTTTTTTTTTTGCACGATGAATATAACTCATAATGCTAAAAGAAAAAAAAAAGGAGATAAGAAAAGCAACATGACAAATTGTCATGGCTACCTTCCATTCATGTTGCCCTTTTCTAATGTTTATTGAATCTCCCCTGTTCAATTTTCCAGATTATTCTGCAGGGTTTACTGAGAAGATGGCACCTGATTTATGGCATCTTCTCCTCAACGCCTTCACTCTCCTAATTTTCCCCAAAAGCTTTCTGCAAGCAAAGTATATGTTCCACCACATTACAAAGTGTTGGCTTTGATGGGGAATCCTACTTACTTTATAATAGCGTCCATTGTAATTGCAACCACACTGTTCTAGCTGGACACACTTGCCGACACTCTGATAGTACCCATCATCGCAGAAACATCCTTCAGAGCAAAAGGTGCCTTGGACACCCTGAAGCCAACTGGCAGAACATTCTTTATCCACGGGGTTCTTGCAGAGCTCATAGTGACTATGTTCTGAGCACTGAAAATCTAGCGGAGGGAAAGAATGGGATAATCTGAGAAACAGCCATTTCCAGGTATTGGTTGGGGGACCTATGAGTAGAAGTCCAGATCTGGTTAAAAAGGGTAAGGAGACAGAGGGAGGGAAGAAGTAAGTGTACTCTAGAAAGAGTAGGAGAAAGCCCCATCCAATACTGGCTTTGGCTCTTCCTACAGTAACTTAGGATAAAGGAAGTTGTTATCTGAAGTCTCCAGAGCAATAAAATGTACAGGATCCTGAAATGGTGTTTATTCCTCTCGATTATTGGCCAACAGGGGCAATGTCACCAGTTGCAATGCAACAACACCTGGAAAGCTGTAAACTGTCCACCCAAGCTCTAGATGACAACGGGAAGTGAACCTTCCCAAAACACTGTGAGATGGGTCTGCTGCTGGATTCAGAAAACATGCTTATCTGATAAGCATATTAATCTCCCGCAGGGGAGCATAAATCTATATCTAGTCTTCCTATATCACAGGAGTCAGCAACCTGCAGCTCTGGAGCCGCATATGGCTCTTTCATTTCTCTGCTGCAGCTCCCTGTCACAGGAGTCACCGCCACAATTTTGAGAGGAGCTTCCGGTTGCGGGGGAGGAGGGAAACACAGCACGCCAGGAGGAGACTCTATGGTAAGGGGCGGGTTTTCCAGTAGACTCCACAATTGATAGGGCTTTCTGTTAGGACAGGTAGAGGAAAAAGGATGCAGCACTAGGAGGAGACTCTATGGTGGGGGGAACCAGACTTCCGGTTGGCTCTAGAATCGAACAGGGGGCTTCCGGTTAGGACCTTTGTGGCTCCCGGTGTTTTCAAATGGCTCTTTGAGTGTTTAAGGTTGCCGACCCTTGCTATATCACATAGAGTAGTAAAAAAAACAAGATGGAACGTAGGATAGAGGGATGAGATACATACAGCAGAAACTCTCGTTCCTCCAGGCAGAAATGTTTACATTTTCTCGTTGGCAGGCTGCTGCGTAGTTCTGAATGGAGTGGCAAAGGACACCGTGGTCTAATGCAGAGATGCAAAGGTCCAATATGCAATCATTCATGTAGGGCTCAGGAGTAACTTGAGAATGACAAGAAGCAAAGGGCCCCTGGGGATTTTGAATGATCCAGCATTTGTATTTTGCCTGGATGAGCTGTTGCTTCTCCAAACATTCTGGGTAAGAACCAGGAGAGAGATCCTTACAGTGATTCTCTGACTTCCAGTTGGCAGCAAAATGGAAGACATCCATTCCCAAAGAGCCATTTGGCATCGCAACGTCATCGTGGGTCACCCTGTTGAAATTCCCACAGAGCCCACAGGTTTGTCCCATGTATCGGGAAGGAAGGACAACAAAGAGGTTTTGCATCCGGTTGTAGCTCACAGTCAGGTTGAATTTTGTTTTCAGAATGATAGATGCTCCCTGCTGGAAAATGACAGTCTCTCCTTGATTGAGGTTCACTGGGAGATTGACAGTTGCTCCGTTGATCTGAATTGAAGAAGCAAAGAAGGCCGGTTAATTTGGAGGTCCACCAAGAACAAACTACCCATCTATTTTTACTCATTCGAAGAAGCTTTAAAGCAGGGGTCTCCAACAGGGGTTGGATTCAAATTTTTAACAACCGGTTCTGTGGGCGTGGCTTAGGTAGTGAGCGTGGCTTGGTGGTCATGTTATTGGCTGGGTGTGGCCAACTCAATATCACTCACATCGCATCTCCTTGCCTGGCCTCTCATGACTGTGGGGATGCTGCAACAGTCAAAAGTGTGAAAAATGGTCATAAGACACTTAAGTCACAGACCAGGCGAGGAGATGCAAGTGATCAATGTAAGTGATGTTGAGTTGGCCACACCCAGCCAGTCACATGACCACCAAGCCACGTCCACCAACTAAGCCACACCCACAGAATCAGTTGTTAAAAAATTTGAATCCCACCCCTGCCTTAAAGTTGCCAAGGCTGGAGACCCCTGCTTTAAAGGTTAAGATTCTTTGCTGAAGAAGTGCCTTCCCTTCTCTCTCCTTTGTTTTTGAGCTGCCCACTTTCATTCACTAATCCATCCTCCCTTTCGGCCCTTCTCCACTTGCACCACACTGTGGTAGAAAACTAGCCTGTCAGCCACTTCTATGTCCTTATGGATATATTTTTTTTCTTAATTGTACATCACTTCCCTTAAAAGAAATCAATAGTATAGCTAGCATGCTGACCTAGTAGGTAGGGACAAATAATGAAAAGGCCATTCAGATAGGTTTATTAAAAGCATTCCAATGTCGTGTTGTAATTTACACCGTGTCTGCCTTTTCCTTTGTGTTCTCCTTGAAATGTAGTAGGCCAAAGATATATTAAATTGTGGTCTATCTTTGCTTAGGGTTGCTCAACAAACTGCCAATGCTTTCTTGAGAGGCTGATGCACACTGTAGGCGCTTGCATGCTGAGTAAATCTACTTTGTCATTTGGTTGTTTGAAATGAGCAGGTTTTTGAGCAGGTTTTAGACCAGGGGTGTCAAACTCATGGCCCATGGGCCAGATCCGCCCTGTGGAGCCGGCCTGGAAACAGCAAAGGACCAGCCCACGGTGCCTCTGCTAGAAAAAATGGAGGCCCCCTGAGCTCCGTTTTCCCTAGCAGAGCGCTGCAGGAGGCCAGTGTGCATGCAGCCTCCCCAAGCTCCATTTTCGCTGGCAAAGGGCTAGCAAAACAAATTAAAAATGTTTCTCCTTTTACCTTTGAGCATCCAAGAAGGGACAGGGAAGGAGAAAGGGAAAGAGGAAAGACAAAGGAAAAGAAGGGAAGATGGGGAGAGAGCAAGGAAGGAAAAATAAGGAAAGAGGGGAAGGAAGAAGAAAGGAGAATGAAGAGGGAAGGAAAAAGAAGAAAAGGAAGGAAGGAGGGAGGGAGGGAGGAGGGGAGGGAGGGAAGGAAGGAGGGAAGGAAGGAAGGAAGGAAGGAGGGAGGGAGGGAGGGAAGGAAGGAGGAAGGGAGGGAGGGAAGGAAGGAAGGAAGGGAGGGAGGGAAGGAAGGAAGGAAGGAAGGAAGGAAGGAAGGAAGGAAGGAAGGAAGGAAGGAAGGAAGGAAGGAAGGAAGGAGATTATGAGAGTGAGTGAAGTCTCAGGGAAGTCCTGCCTTTGCAGTTGATCACCATAGGTGCCCCCGACATGATTCCCATGTCACACCCACCATGGCCATGCTTCCCTCCCGCCACGCCTGCCAGCCCTCTGAGGTCAAGAGACAGTCTAAAATTTAAGGTACACATGCCGGCTATCAGGAAAGAAAAAAGAGAGCTTTTTTTTTTTTTTTTTTTTTGCTGAAGGGAACGATCTTGTGGAATTTGTCATGGTGCCAGCTAGTGTTTTAGGTGGCTTTTTACAAAGTTTAAATAAAGTCAACAGATCAGGTTGATCAAGAGCTTTCAGCTTATGGTGCTTAGATAGATCAACTTTATTCGGAGTGTGTGTTTCTCTGACTCATCAAACAACTACAGTACAAAGAAAGTTGCTTCTTAGATGTCCTGCTTGTATGTTTCTTATATCGAAAACAAACACTGAACTAAACAGACAAGATTGGGATAACCTCTCAAAAGCAAAAGAGGTTTTTCTCTCTAAATACATTTTCAATTTATTTTCTTATTTCTCTGAATTAGGGGACTAAAGAACTGAAAAAGCTTCCTGGATGAGAAGCAAAATGTTTTCAAGGAAAAAAAACAACAAAGAAAGTCCAGTTGCCTTTTGGAAGAAACACCTTTGGGACAGCCATGACCTGGATGATTTGAGAATCTCCATAGACATATCTAGAAGAGTTCTCTTCAACTTGGTGCTTTCTTGGCGCCCAACTTGGTGATATGTAGGGACTACAACTTGGACCACAGGGATGGGGAGTTCTGGGTGTTGTAATCCCACAGGGACCTAGCTGGATAAGGCTGTTCTTGCTCAAGAGCTTTACCTTGATGGTTCCCCAGAAATCTCTCTGCAGATGTATCTGATGGGTGTTCACTTGGACAAACACTTCTGAGGTCATGGGCAATGGCTGGTTGCTTAGCTTCTCATTCTTCACCTCGACTCTAAAGAAGGGCAGGTCTGCAGGGCTTCCACAAAGTTCCGCAAAGACATATTTGCACGTCCCCTGGAATTCAAACTGCTGCCCATCAAATGTGGTGTAGTGAAGATACCCTGACACCTGACAGAGACCATCTGAGAACTCGTGGCACCCATGAATGCCTCTCTGGGCGCCACAGAACTCTCCAGGGCCACAGGTGGAGTTGACACACTGCACAGCATGGCTGGTGCTGTTACAGTTGCAGAAGCTCCTGCAATCCTCTCCCTGCCAGAAAATTTCCCCAGCCAGGTAATATCGCCCATGGTAAGTGCAGCCACATTGAAGTTGGGCCACACATTCCACGCCGCTCCGCGCAAACCCAGGGTTGCAGTGGCATCCTTCAACACAACCAGTCTGGCAGCTGGAAGGTGTGGCTAAGGAGGCACAAGAAGTCGAGCAAGGAGGTCCGCAGAGGTCGTAAAAGCTATTAGCGGGACACAACAACTCTGAGGAGGGGAAAAAATGCACACATATCAACATTTGAGAATGCCGAAGTACAAAGTCTTTCTTATTGCTTTATCTAAGATAGTGGTGGCAAACCATTTTGTTATGTTGTGCCGAAAGCACGTGCATGCTGGCACCCACAATGCAATGCGCCCAGGGGTGGGATTCAAATTTTTTAACAACCGGTTCTGTGGGCGTGGCTTAGTTGGTGGGTGTGGCTTGGTGGTCATGTGACTGGGTGGACATGGCTTGGTGGTCATGTTATTGGATGGGTGTGGCCAACTCAATATCACTCACATCAAGGCACGCATCTCCTCGCCTGGCCTCTCATGACTGTGGGGATGCTGCAACAGTCGTAAGTGTGAAAAATGGTCATAAGTTACTTTTTTCAGTGCCATTGTAACTTTGAACGGTCACTCCACACAAGCAAAGTGCCAGCAAAAGAGGGAAAGAAAACTCCAGAGAAGTTCCAGAGACAGGAAGTCTAGTCCTGCCAAGAATCTAGTTAACAGAGAGGCAGTTTCTGTAAGCAACACCAGAATGTTTCCTTCCTGCCTTTTTTACAGGATTAGGCCAGTAATTTCTTCTAACAAGCGGTTCTCCGAACTGCTTAGAATGTTAACAACCGGTTCTAGCGAATAGGTGCAAACTGGTAGAATCTGACTCCTGAATGCGCCCCCCCTACGCATGCGCATACAACGCCCCCACCCCCTTACCTTCCCTGCACATGTGCATGCCTCCCAGCTAATTTTTAACCCATTTGAAGCCGTTTTCGCAGTCCCCTGCACCCCATTTTTGCTCCCAGGAGGCTTTCCTGAGGCCCACTAGGCCAAAAATGGGGCACGGGGGGGGGGGGGGGTTGGCTGCGAAAGAAAAAAAGGACTTTTCCCCCCCAGTCACATGACTACCTGGCCACACTCATCTAGTCATGTCCACTTAGCCATGCCCACAGAACCGGTAGTAAAAAAAGTTGAATTCCACCACGGACTTACAGAGGGCTGTAAAGCACTATAAAGCAGTATATAATTCTAAGTGTTAAGTGTTATCCTGGTTTTATTTGGATTATCAAGCTGGAAGTTGACAATTACTGTAACACCGGGGTTGTAAATATGCACCAGCTTACCACACCCAGTCGTCTCCCTCCAGGGCTGAATGGCAATTCCACGGCTTTGGCATTGCTGAACATATGCTCCCAGGGTTTTGCATAGGCTGCTGCCAGAGGTGACACACATGTCCTTCACACAGTTCTCAAAGTGGATTTGAACAGTAGCAGGGTCTCTGCATAGCTGAAATGGTCCACTTGGATCACGGATGATGCCACAGGAATGGAGAGGCCAATACTGAGATTCATCGCACGAGGGTGGAAGCCCGACGACCGTACAGTGGAAAGGCGAAGTAGTTTCTCTCCAGCTGTTGCTGAAAGCGGTGGGACTGAAAAGAAGGCTGCCGTTGGGGTTTTGGAAATCGTCCTTCTGATTCCCATTGAAGTTTCCACTCAGGCCGCAAAGCAACCCAGAATAGTTCTTGGGGACAGACATTGATACGGAGTAGGACCAGTCGTAAGAGACGGAGAGACCGAAATCGGTCTGAACGTGGACGGAAAAACCACGGTAGTAAACAGAGAGCTTTTCTGCTGGAAGAACAAACGGCAAGTTGACCAGAAGGCCATTCACCTGAGACGGAAAGGAAGAGAAGGCAGCATGGTTTATCATTCACAATAAATCATAATAACTTTTCCGGTTCAAGGTTGACTCAGCCTTCCATCCCTTACAAGGTCAGTAAAATAAGGACCCAGATTGTTGGGGGGCCATATGCAAATAATGCTGGCATTGTAAACTGCCGGAGAGTGCTGTAAAGCACCATCTATAAATCTACGTATTATTGCTATTGCTAATATGGCACTCTTTAAAATGGATTTGATTGAGACTTTCGTAATCACCAGAAATAATTGCAATTATAGTGAGAAAAGCTAAAAGTCACCAAACAGATGATGAGTGAATATACAATAGGTATTTCATGGCTTTAGATTAAATTTAAATGAAGATAAACACATGTCCTGGCCCTACAAACTTCAGGCATGTGGCCTCTATATGATGCAAGATTGGTTAAGCTGTTTTTGTTATTCCAGCATCTATAGCTATTCTTGGATTTGGTCAAAGCTATTTTAGGAGTTTTTATAACGTCAATAAATATTTACTGATGTGGCTTTCCTTTTTGACGGTCTGCAGTTTTTTTCAAGGAGACTTGGTTGTACATTTGTGGCGAAACCACAAAGAGTGAGAAGAAGATATTGAATAATAACCACAGCAAAAAAAAAAATACTCAGCCAAGGAATTGTGCTCTGCAGGCGCCTGTCAAAAGCAATAGGCACTTTTGCTGTATATGGTAAACACTTTTCAATTACTGTGATGCTGAACTAACCAAACAGTCGCTAGATGAGTGGTGTTTAAAACAAGACCTTACTGTTGTGATTCGCCGGCAGCCTGTGCAGACGGCAGCAGAATTGGACAGTGGGGAAGAATGGGGACCAGTCCAGGAGTCTGGGGAGGATTTGGATGAGGGTCCTGCATCCGATGCAGAGATGGGGCCAGGACCATCTGGGAGTGGGGTGCTGACTCCAGAGCCTCCAGAGTCTGGCAGCAGTGAGGCAGAGGAGCAAGGGGAGCCTGTTCCCAGTGCATGTGTACACAGAGCTGCTAGAAGGCAAGAGCAGCTGAGACAAAAGGGGCGACTCGGGAGTAAGGCTGGGAGGTAATTGCCCCTCCCATAAGGGATAAAGGGCAGGCAAAGATGACAAAACCTTTGCAGGAAACAAAGTCATTCGTTCTGTTCAGATTAATCCTTGAAGCTCTGTGTGGACTTTGTACTTTGGTTGGTTTTTTTTATAGTTCATTTGGCACTTCTGTTGTTGGCAGCACTTCACGGGAAAGAAAGGTGGGTGCTTATCTTGAGGGATTGTTTGAGACTCATTACCAGCTCGGAATGAACATAATTTCCAGCGTTGAAATAAAGCAGGAATTGTTTTAACTGAGTGTGTGCTTAATTACGGTCTCGGAAGCCTTGGTCAGAACACTTACCTGTATTTTGTCATATTGATCCGCCATCATAACAATCTTCTGCCCATAGGCCTCTACCTCCACCTGGTAGATCCATGATGCTGCCAAAGAGGTCCGATGTTCATTCTGCACTTTGACAGTAAAACTCGGTAACTTGTTCAAAGGGCCACAGTATCTGCTCAAGGTGTACGTGCATGTCCCTTCATAATCAAATGCCACCCCGTCAAAGGTGACATAGTGGGGATCACCAAACACCCAGGAACTGCCAACTTCCTCAGCATGGCATCCCAAGACACCATCCACCACTCTGCAGGTTTCCTGAGCGCTGCACGCATGTTCTTGGCACTCCATAGGGTGGGAAGGCTGCCTGCAGAAGCATTTCTTGCTGCAAGAGTCTGTCAGGATCTCCTCACTGCTCACTTCATAATACTGGTTGTTCAGTGTGCAGCCACAACCGCTCAGGGGCACACATGCACCTCCACTGAGAATGTAGCCTTTGTTGCAAGAGCAGCCCTCTCGGCAAGGCTTGGAGCAGAAAAGTGGAGCAGTGGAATCCAGACAGCTGGCCGGGCAAGCTGTAGAGCAGGCTTCATAGTGGCTGTTCTCTGGACAAGTGACTTCTGAGAGAGAAAGGAGACGTGGAAGAGGAGAAAAATCAAGTGAATGTTATTGTCGCAAACCAAATCCCAATACCTCCTCTATGAATCATGAACTATATCTTGCCGTTCATTCAGACACATGTTCCACCTCCATCTGTTCTCAGCCTCTTCCAACTTTATAGCAATAGCACTTAGACTTATATACTGCTTTATAGTGTTTTACAGCTCTCTCTAAGCAGTTTACAGGGTCAGCCTCTTACCCCAAACAATCTGGGCCCTCATTTTACCCACCTCGGAAGGATGGAAGGCTGAGTCAAAACCTTGAGCCTAGTGAGAATCGAACTGCCAAATTTCAGGCATCCGGCAGTCAGCAGAATTAGCCTGCAGTACTGCACTCTAATCACTGCGCCACCGAGGCTCTATGAGATGCATAGAAATGAGATGCCCCATGAATGTGTTGCATCTCATTTCCAAGATGCTTATCAGTGATAACAGCAAATAGAATGGGGACCTCTAGAAGCCGAAGCCCATCATGTGTGGAGGACACCAAGTTGGAAAAGGTGGATTTAGCTCATGTCATTCACTCCAATGATGCTCTCTGCAGAGTGAGACGGGAAGATTGAAAGAACATGTTGTGATAAGAATTTGTGATAATTGATGGTTCACATGAACAAATATTGGCACATACACACAGAAACACACATACAAGAATGTATTGTTTTTCTTACCCACCAAAAATCTACCAATTCCTTTTTTTGATGTGTCCCACACTAAAGCTATTAGGATAATACCAATCACCAGCTTCATTACTGAGAAGATCAGTCATCAGAACATAGCAACCAGGATGCATGTTTCTGCCATTTTATAGGTTAGAACAGGGTCTCCAAACTAGGGAACTTTAAGACTTGTGGACTTCAACTCCCAGAATTCCTCAGTCAGGAGATGAAGTCCATACATCTTAAATTTGCCAAGTTTGCAGACTCCTAGGTTAGAAGACAGCATTCTGTGCCCTAAAGCCCATTAATTATATTTCTGATGGACCAGAGTGTACAAATTGCATTTCTCTCTACTGATTAGTCACTGCACCGTGACATTCATTATGATTCTCTTCAGGGATTGAGAGGTTGTTGGTTTATATTTATTCATTTTACTCACCGCATTGCGTCTCTTCTCTCCATTGCCCAACTGTGATGTTGGCTGCTTGACAACGTTCAGCGTAAATACGGAGGAGATTACATAGCACAGTCCGGTTCCCTCCAGATGTACAGACATCATTAAGACAGACTTCCATAAAGCTGGATACAGGCACCATCTGTGCACAGTTAGCAAAAGGACCTGGGGATTTTTCTAAAACGCCACAGTGTTCTGAGCTGGAATAATTGGCCAATTTAGTCAGGGGGCAAGTTGGTGGCTGTTGGATGTCCCCACAATCGTCCTCAAAATTTTTGATCTGCCACCTTCTAGCAAATAGTGTCACTGATTCCACCAAGGATCCATTGTGGGTTGAGAAGTCATCTGATTGATTATCATTCAAAGATCCACAGAGGCCACAAGTCGCATTTTGATATCTGTCAGGAACCCCAATCTCCACATGTTGATTCCCAGTGTAAGAAACGGATACTCCAAAGTCAGTATCTATCTTCATGGAGAAGCCACTCTTACGCATTTGGATCTTGCCGCCGAGAAGGATCACAGGAAGAAGTGTCTTTATCCCACCAATCTACGAAGGGGTTCCATACAAGAACGTGGAATCAGAATTACTGCTTTCATCTTAGCTAAATTGGATTGATCTATATATCTGGTCACTAGGAGTCAAAACCAATTTGTTGGCATCTATTCAATCAATCAAATATACTGGATTTAAGGAAGTGCTGTTGGCATTTGATGCCATCCAAGACCCAAATCTGCAGTGCAAAGCAACCTAAGCTACTATGTCCAAATATATTATTAAATAGACAAAACCGCAACTAACCAAAGAGAGCCAGGGTTTTATAACCTAGAACTACATCACCTACGATCTGATCTAACCTTAGTACACAAAATTGTCTGCTACAACATTCTACCTGTCAACGACTACTTCAACTTCAACCGCAATAACACACAGGCAAACAATAGATACAAACTCAAAGTAAACAGCTCCAAACTCGATTGCAGAAAATACAACTTCAGCAACAGAGTGGTCAATGCCTTGAACTCACTACCTGACTCTGTTGTTATATCCTCAAACCCCCAAAACTTTAACCTTAAACTGTCTACCTTGGACCTCATTCCATTCCTAAGAGGTCTGTAAGGGGGCGTGCATAAGCGCACCAGCATGTCTACCGTCCCTCTTCTACTGTTCCCATTTATTCGTACTCAATTATTATGTATATACTCATACCAGTCTATACTTAAATGTTTATATGTTGTGTTCATACTTACACTTGTTTTTTTTCTCATACATGCTTGACAAATAAAATAAATAAAATATAAGCAAAAGATCTCCAGCTGAAACCCTACTAACTCTATTTACAAGGGAGCTGCCTGCATCCCATCCATGCAATCCTGGGATCCCATCCAAGGGATGCAGGCAGTACTTGAAACCATGATCCCTCTGGTCCTCAAAAAAACATCTCTCCTAACAAGGAAATATTAGGCATAATACCAGAAAGTTATGATAAAGGGACTGTATATTTAATGGTACATGTTTTGACAGCAGCGAGAATTGTATTTGCACAACATTGGAAAAACGAGAACAGCCCATCAGATGAAAACATAATTTAGAAAATATTGGATTGTGCAGAATGGATAGATTAACATTGAAAATAAAAAGATTCAGAATATTATTTAACGTGGAATAGGTTTTATGATTGGTTAGAGACAAGAGGTAGAAATTAGATGAAGAAAGACCATTGCTATATGTAAGGAAAATATGAATGTTGTTTATAACTATATGCTAATATAATTAATATGATTATAAACAAGTGAATATATGGTAAATATGGTAATAATAATAATAATAATAATAATAATAATAATAATAATAATAATA